ATAGACCCCCCCCCCCCCTTCACATGAGAAACCCCACTTCGCATCAAAAGCCTTTCCCTTCACATCAGAGTCCCCCCTTTTCACATCAGAGGCCCCCCCTTTAGCAAAAACACCTAACTGAGAAGTCTAAGATTGACACTGCCTGTCTTTGGCTTCACAGATGCATATTCATACATCATAACTTTCTAGATGGGAAAGAGGGACACAAAGTGTGTAGGCAAAAGACACACCCCTACCACTCCCCCAGTTACATGGATCATAAGGAGTTAATAAGCAAAAATTATTGGCTTAATTCACAAGTGCTATGTTCATCACTATGTTTCTGTTGAAAGTGTCTAATTATAGTTTTGGTACATAAATGGTACATAAAACTCACAATGGGACACTCCTGCTTGAATTTGATGAATATTAAATATACTATCCAATGAGCATTTTGTTGTAGATGCTTTTTTATGTTGCTATTGTAGCTGAGCATAAATGCGTTTTTTGTTTCCTGAATACTACACAGCAGACTTTTCTAATGAAAGTTTTAGAATTAATGCAAATAAAGAACTCTCATAATTATACTTGTATAGCACCATTAAATGTGTCGTGTAGTTCTGAGATAATCAGAAGAGTCCATTTTTCATTGTATACAGTTTTATGAATAATTAACAGCAAACATCCTTATATCCTGAGCTTCTTTGTGAAACATTGAAAAATAGAGTAATGTGACTTGGCTGTGATCATGTTGAGTTGGCACTGGGAAAAAGTCCATTTACTAGAGATAGTAATCTTTTTACAGTTGATATCATTACTTTTTAAAAGGCTAGCGAGCACTTTTTTTCAGCTGCATGCTGTTATATCTGAGTGGGAGAAATGATGGGGAAAGGTCTTTAAAGGGGAATATGCATATCCAATGTTTAAAATATGATATTCTCTCATTCATAAATGTAGGTTTGTATTTTGAGAAGTCCCTGTTTTGAATATTTCCTGTAAGACTGGAATAAACTATGTGAAAAGAAACCTAGAGGAAACCTACTGGACATTTACTAAGGTTCACACTCATGAACCTTTAATGCTGCGCCATGTGGATATCTGAGAGCTTTGTGCTTACTCAGTCCTGGGCGCAGTATGAGATATGTTAGTACTTATTGCTGCTTTGCTCACTGCTTCACAATCCAAAAGATATGTATGCAGAGCTCTATGGCGATGGAAGCCAGTTGCAGTACATTTGGGTGCAGAGCTTTGATTGCTGAAAATGTATAAACCACAAAAATTAACCCTGAACACTTAACCTAAGTCTAACACTAAATCCTTAACCTTAAAGTTAATCTATGCTGGATGCAGCCATTGCTGGAAATGGCAGTTGCTAGACAGTAATGCTGATCCTCTGGCTTTAATGTGAATTAACCTGGAACAATACTCCATGTTTCTCTCAGCACAGGTTTATAAAAATCAACCCCCTAACACCTACATGAACCAAAAATGTAAATCCTTGGACAACATCTTCCCCTGGTCATATACAGGGTCTGGCATCTATTGTCATCTTGATCAGCCAGCCTGAGGTGATGTAACTTCCTTGCACATGCATTCATCCTGACACAAAGGCATGTTGAGATTGTACACTAAGCTGTACATGTGCAGCAGTTTACATTGTAAAGGAGTTTGTGAGCAGGAAGATAAGAGGCTATTATTGCAGAAAAGTCATAGCATTTCTCTTCTGCAATAAAAAAGCCTTTTAGCTAGCACATGTGTTTCTGGGTTCTCTTTTCTTCTTTGAGTGTGCACATCACTACCTGTGTGACGTGGGCACTTGCTATTTTTCTTCAGCACTGAGGTCCTCTCAAATTGCAGAAGAGGAGTCTGCAGTGGACCTGCCAGCACGGACACACTTGAAGCACTAATTTAGCGGTCCCCTGCACCTGGAAACGGCGCCCGCTGGGGACCTGGACTAAGCATTCAAATGATGGGATCAAGCGCTGTCACATGGGGATGAGGAAGTTTGCTTAGCCTTTTGCATGTGTTGATTTTCTCAGTGAGCTGAACATTGCCCAGGAGTTTTAAAGGCTCCAATTGTGGATCCCAGCAACTTATAAAGTATATTTATTTATTACAGGTATTTATATAGCACCGTCAATTTACGCAGCGCCTTACATAGTGTACATTCTCATCAGTCCCTGCCCTCAAGGAGCGTACTATATAAGGTCCCTATCTCACATGCATACGTTCTAGGGACAATTTAGACAGGAGCCAATTTACCTCCTGTCTTTGGAGTGTGGGAGGAAACCGGAGTACCCAGAGAAAACCCACATGCAATCTTTTTGCAGATAGTGACCTGGCCAGGATTCAAGCAAGGGACACCCGGTGCTGCAAGGCAGAAGGGCTAACCAATACACCACTGTGTTGCCTATAGTATAGGTAATAACAGGCACTTAAAGCTGCCTTCAATGTAGCGGTTGGCGTAATTTTATTGTACAGTCTTTGGGGTTGTGCCAATTGGCAAAAGGAGCTTCTTTTTTTAAGTGCATTACATTTGTATTTGAAATGCTTCTGAGATGATTCACAGTTCCTTGACAGGTGAAGTTGTCCTCCTAAACAGCATCAACCTGGTTTGGGCTTCTTTTACATTATCATTGACATGTATGGGGAGAAAAGTAGTTTGGATACAAACAAAAAGCATATAAACACATGCCCTCTCAATTAGATGCAAATGTAATGGAAATCCATTTTTTTTGGTTAATTCTTCATTTAGCAGTGTAGTCTAAAACAAGCCTGGACCTCTTCTATTTTATTTAGAATTGTCAGTCTATAATGCTGACCAAGACAAGTATAAATAGTAGCACGGTGCACAAAAGACTGCAGGATTACTCTGTACAAAACAGGATGTATGGAAGTTGCTGCTTGTGAGATGCTATAATATAAAGGAAATTAACAACACAGATAACATTTCAGATATTATTTCTAGGTACTTCGAACAGCAGGCCACAGATAACAATATTCTATATCTGTATGAAAAAGATATGTCAAGCCTTCATGGAAGGACTTGCGGTTGGTCAGTACCAACTTGTCACTGTGCAAAGCAAACTATATAAAGCCAGATTTCTGCTTATCCACATCTAATTGGTTTACCATACTTGTGTTTATGAGATGAGTTATGGTCCTTATTCATGTATAGATTTCAAAGGTCATTTTAGATTGCAAACCCAAGGGGAGTCCTGTGAAATGACTACTAGTTTCATTTATTAGCAAGGTGAGCGGAGTGTATGCATGTAGACAGGAAGTGGCTGCAAAGAGGGTGGGGAGATCAGTAGCACTGAGATACAAGAAAGGATGAAAAAAGGTGAACACATTTATTTTAAGAAATTACAATTGGTTATGATTTATAGTGCTTTGCCACCTAAATGTCAACCTGCTTATGTATTGATGTTAGTAGTAAAAGTGAGCATTGTGTCATTCTAGCATTTTGCAATTAGTTTTATAAGAAGCTTATGGATTCATTATTTCCATATAAAGAGTTATGCAAAATGATACAATATCCATTGTATAGACTTGTTATGCTTTTAGTCTTTTAATCCTTTAAAAGTATGATTTGTAGTAAAACAATCTCCTAATTTATGGTATTAATGTACTTATTGTTTCTTTCAGCTTCTTTGACTTTGGTACTGAAGAAAGAATTTAACTTCTGAGTATTTGCACAGGCAAGTGATAAACTGACTCATGAGTAGTTAAGTATTTGCTTTTTCTAAATGCTTCCAAGAAACTGTTTCATAATGAATATTCAGAGGATATGTATTTGCATTTCAAAGCAGCTTTATTATACAGGAGGGCCCTGTGTACCTATAGAATGGAGTCTCCTCTCTGTAGCTTTCATACATGAATAATGATTAATAGTAAGTAGGCTGTTCATTTTTTATGGAATGTATTCAGATAACTGATTCACCTGTACAAAGAATACATGAGGCCATTAAATGTGTACATCCTCTGTATCTGTTCTACAAATAATAATGCCATTTATCAAAAGAGATTGCATAATGTATTGTAGATCTGGTCACAACCAACATAACGAATAGGAGATAAAGAACCTAAAGATAATATGCAATATTGTTATATATTTAAAACCAAGATCTCTCCACTGACGTGTGTGTTTATTACATCTAGGAGACAATAGCCTACACTTAGTTGGATAAGTCTCCTTTTGTGTACTAGTATTGGTGCTGATACCGAGTGTTTGGGAGAGTACTCATACTCGCCCAAATGCTCCTATACCTTCCCCGATACCGGAACTTCTGGTCAGAGGAAATCTCCCTTGTGGCAGTGCCACGAGAGAACATAGAGCCGGCTTCCCAGCCAATCAGGAAGCCGGGCGGCAGGTAATGACTCGCCGCCCGGCTTCCTGTTTGGCCGGGAAGCTGGCTCCATGCTTTTTGGCCAGCTCATTGCTGATTGGCCGGGAAGCGCAAAACACACACACACACACACTCTTACCTGCATTCACCCATACATATCATGCAATATGCATAAAATAAGTGTGAGGTTTAATGCGTAACAAAATTGATACGCAAGCATAACATTTATCTAGCATAGTACTATAAAAGGCCATTGCTCCTCTGCTATCAGGTCACAGCCCTGGTACTTCTGTGGGCTGCTGCTATGTTATACAGATAAAATGAAATGCTCACTTCTGCCTCTGAGGTTTTAAATCACTGTATTTGCAGTTCCAATTTTGCTTTGCTGTCAAGGTAACAAGAATAATGACTCCAGTTTTGAGGGCCATCATTCTGATAGGCCATCATTTTAATACTTTTGATAGATTTCTTGACATCTATGCTAAGGCAATGTTTGATAGCATTCACATTTCCTAATCTGAGAGTGAGGATTTTGTAGACGTGTTCTTTTATATAGAGGGAAAGACAATAATTATACTCACGATAGAGTGTGTTTGGAAAGTAATCCAATAAAATGTCAGTGAGGTAGGTAGATATTCACAGTTAAGAAATATCTATACTTCCTCAGTAGTCTCTTTTTAGAATTGGCAATGTGACTCATAAGTCTAATACTTAAATCATTGCTTTTGCCAGAGCTAAATAAAACTCTCTAGGAGAAAAGATAAGATTCATGGAATTTGTGTTTGACGATTGTGAATGAAATATGTATAGATATCTATATATAGATATCTATGTATAGATATCTATGTATAGATATCTATATATAGATATCTATGTATAGATATCTATATATAAATAAAAACTCTAACAAATCTTAAAGGACCCCCAGTCCTGACATATGACTTCCTACATATATGGGATTGATTTTTTAAGTTTAAAGCAGAAAGAAGAGAACACTTAAGTGATTTTTTGTTTTCAGAATCAAAGTTACATAGTATATTGCATAGTGTTACACTGACCATATGGAAAAGGTGGAGTAACATACATGTTCTGTCTGCACGTTTGAAAGAACATTGCTTCAACTATTATGACTTTTTAGAACATATTTTGCTGTGCAATATATGATTATTAGGTAAGTATAAAGTTGTAGAGACACAGATCTTGAGCAGGAGTCTATGTTCAAACAAAAGAAGCTTATTCTGTCCAATGTTTAATTTTTATGAATTCCAGTCCATCTTTGTCAAGGACTACGATCAACTGAAACATTAGACAGAATAAACTGCTCCTATTTGGACATATATTCCTGCACAAGACTCATGAGTGCCTCCACTACTTTATATTTATCTACTGATGGTACTTTGCTGCAGTGTACCCAGGCAGATATTCCCTGGGCAGTTGGCAGTGACTTCCAATGGAAATTAAAATATGATTAAAGGAGAATCATGGGGGAGAGGGAAATACACTCATCCCCAAAATTAGAGCCGATGTGTGACACTAAAACTGTCACACGTCAGCTCTATTGAACAAGAACTGAGAGATTACATACCGCCGATCGCTCAGTTCCTGATCATCTACCTGCAGAGAGTGGTGACTGCCAGTCATCGCTCCCTGCAGGTATTCCTCCTCTCCTCTCCTGTTCCTCCAGAGCTGACTGGAGGGACGGACGGGGAGGGGGTGGGCACAGCTGGCTCTGCCTCTAGAAAGGCAGAGCCAAATGTCAATCAGGTAGTAAGGTGGATCCTGGCAATATTGTCAGAATCTTTCCCAGCTGAGGCACTGCTCTGCGCTGTCAGCATATAGCGGATATAGCCTGCTATATGTTTAGTTTTGGGTCATTAATATATGTCCTCCTGTGAACCTAAAGAGAACTATGGCAATAAAAAGGTTGGGCCATAATTCTCTTTTAATAATAGCATATTTTATGTAAAAGAGTCAGAACCAACCAAATATAAACTAAAACAATACAAAAAAAAACAAAAAATAACACAATAATCACTTCTGATCAAGTTCTTCACATCCCAGCATATCAGAAATCCAAGTGTGTTTGACGCCCTGAGTCTAGATTATTACCTATACATCTCTAAGTTAGAAATGATTAATTAAAATATTTCTAAACGACCTAGTGTACCCTTTAGTTTTTCTGAGGCTTACTAAGTCAGATGGCTGTAAGTACCTATTAATTGCATAACCTGATCTCCAGATAGCTTAAATAACTGGGTCAAATTTAAAAGAATTTCTTGGCATTAAGTGAGATATGTGTGATGGTGTTCGATTTGTCCAGTAACATCATATTTAATAGAATTGCTTTTATATATTTTGTATTAGACAAGCATGGTTACAGCCAGCAGGCCAGTATGGTCTTTTTAATCCATCGTAGGCAACTGATTTTTTATCTGGTCAGGTTCCTGCACTTATTGTCAATCAACCCCCTGGCAGGATGCAAAAGACATGTGGATGGGCATAACGGCCTTGTGAACCCTATAAGTCTGTACTTTTATTTCAGTGCTTCTCTCCAATACATACACATTTTGCCATCTTAAGTCTCTTTAAAAGTACTTGCAAGTACAGAAAAATACCTGCCATTAATTCAGTGAGTTTCTAACTTCCTATTTTCTGCATTATAGTTGCCATTTACAATTTTTTTTCTTTGGTGGTTGTCAGTATACAAGTGACTGACTGTTCAAACCCCATGAAGACAGATACAAAAATCACAGTGAGGCTAGCAGAAACTTTTCGTCATGGTCTTTGACTTAGTATTGCGCACTCTTTAATCCTCTTACTCTGCATAGCTGACAACCGCATCCCCAGCTTTACTTTTCTGATATTTACCTTCTCCTCAGAGGAGAGAGCACACACACGCCACAAGGAGTCTTGTTTATAGAGCTTTCAAGTTAAGATTTTGCTATTTTTGTCATGCAAAATGTCACTTTGCCTGTTTATATAGATGCCCTGAACAAATTTCCACTTGTTTTTGCCACATTTCCACAACAATAACTGCTTTGTAAATGGAGTATGCCTACTTATGAATGCTGTCTATTCATTTTTCCCTTGACCATTAAGAAAAATTAATGGCAATTTAATCAGTTCTGCTCAGGGGAAGAAAGAGGAGATACAGCAGCTCCAGTTCAATGTATTTGCCCAGATATTGGTCTTGAAGAACAAATTGCACCTGCAAATAATCCCCCCCCCCCCCGAACTAATTACCATTGTCCCCTTCTCTCCTCCCCACTTAACCTCTTCATGACAGTTGTAAGTTGGGGGTTGGCAAGAGGTACCCCAGCTCCCAGGAGGGAACATACCATCCGACGACCCCTGAAAATGCTTTCAACTATCCTGGACCTGTTCATGTATCAAAAAAATGCGTCTCATTACTGTTATCATTTCACTTTTTTTCTTAGAAAGCATGCAGAGACAGAAACTAAACTATAATGAATAATTTAAAGTGACTGTACACAAATAACCCTAAAAAAAGCAAAAAAAAAGCACATGCTATGAAAAGGGTAAACAGATTTGCACCTAAGCTTCAAAATGACCAAATTTGAGAGTTTTCACTTGTAAAATGTTGCTGGTAGCAAAATCTGTTTTTCCAAAATCACTTTGCTCATCCCTAGTGCCCGCTGAGGTTAAAACAAAAATGTTTGGTTAATCTAGGTTGCAATATTTCAGGATACAATTGTGAATCGATATTATTTATTCCGCACAGCAAATCAGTAATCAGAGACATACACTGAGTGGCCAGATTATTATGAACACCCCATCAGTACTTTGTTGGGCCACGAGATGACTCCACAAGATGACTTTGTTGGGCCGCCTCGCGACTCCACTAGATGTTGAAAGGTGATGCGAGGAATCTGACACTGCACTGTTGCCCTTCTGTTGTCTTGTACCAGTCTTGCCACTCTCCGTTCTGCCCTAACATTGACTAGTCGCTGACGGCCACAATTCGCACGTTCAGACCCAGATTTTCAGGCTGGCAGCTGCTCTTGAACATTTAACGAATTCTGCTGCTTTGCTGATACTCGCTCCATGGCTCCGAGCGCCAACAATCATCCCATGTTCAAAGGCTGTTAAATCGCGTTGTTTACCCATATCTTCAGAAAAAAATCACTTCCACTGTCGTGGTAAACAACCTGCTTCCCTATTTATAATGGTCTGGCCCTCTAGCAACTTCAGCGCGAAATTACAGCTAATTATAGCTAATTTGCCTACAAACGTCAGGTGGTCATAATAATCTGGCCACTCAGTGTATACTTATGTTCATGGATTTAAAGTCAGTAGTAAGTGCAAATTTTTTGGAATTGGTGTTTATTGGT